GTAAATATGATTATTATTAATTAGCAGTAAAAAATGCAGCTCTTAATTATATAATTATTTTATTATAATCCCAAATATCCAATGTTCCCAAAGTTTTTTGTCAGTTTCCAGAATGTTTTTTATTAATATTTAGTAAAACATGTGGCATGTTGTTTGTATAATATAAAATATGTGATTTATAGTTTGCGTCAACAATTTCGAGACATTCTTTTATGTTGATCCTATATAAACTTCACATCGTAGTCAATTACATGGCATGTCGTGGTAAATCGCAAAGTCGCGTTCAAGTTGCTCCATCATTTATCTATTGTTATTGGGTAAGTGATTCTTGCGCGTGAAAGATTACTGCGAATGTGAAAAAGATATTAAAATGTCATATGCAATCGCTGTTATATGCCGAGTCGTTCATTACAAATTTGATCGAAATTTTTTTTACATATTTTGTAAAGCTTTTTTTTTAAATACAACAAAAGTGCTGCACAATAATCATTAGATACGTATACGTAATAGTCCGTAATTACTCTTGATGATTATATTTTAATTATTTAATTATTTGATTATATATTTGAATTGACATTCGATATACAACTCTGCCGTAATGCATATCCAGTAATACAGGTAATGTCGATAGTCGGTAGATAGTATATGTCAAAAATGCGAAGGCTACTTTAAAATGTTGTAACTTTGCGAAAAAAAATCCTAGCAACTAATTTTTTTTTTAAATTAAAGGCAAAAGTTCGAACTTTATACCGCTGCAAACAGTATTCCCCCCCAAAAATTTGCAAAATCCATGCATTTTATCAAATTTTGCAATTTTCAATATGACATTCTCATATTTTGAGAGTTACAGTGATAGGGATGCATTAATCTTAAAATCTGACCATAGCGTCTTAAAGTAGAGATTTTAAGCTAATAATTTAAAAAAAAAACATTTTACGATAATTTTTCGCAAAGTTATCGTTAATTAAAGTTGGCCAATTTTTGCCCAAATTTTTCTATGCCATAATTTTTTTGAGCAATGTATATATATATGTGTGTGTGTGTGTGTGTGTGTGTGTGTGTGTGTGTGTGTGTGTGTGTGTGTGTATAATATATTTTAATTAAATGATTCACCTTTGATTAGTTCTAATATCTATATCGAAACATTTCAAATTTTAAATTATTTCTACATTAATCAGCAATTTTCCATTTGTTTCAAGATTATATAACGTACTTTCTGTATTTTTATCTCTTTCATTTATTCTCTCTTATCTCCTCCTACTTTTCCTAAGTTATAAAATTTAAAATTATATTTATATTTCGAATTAAATAAAATTAAGAAGATTTCCCGTTAAATACGAAGTGAAATACACACAGTAACACATTATTAACATTATTAATATTTTCCATTAATATTTTCCACTTAATAACATAATTGTAATATATAACACATGTATGTTACATTATTGAATAGAAAATTATAAATTATATCGTTAATGTAATGTTATCGTTACTCTGTATTTAGCGGGCCTAGTTGGTATGCCAATAGCTGGTTGGTATGCCAATTCAGCAGAAAAAGCAGTAACTGTTGTAAAATTCTTTAATATGATTGAGCTTGCCTTTAGTTTCTTACTGGATCTAAATGTATAAACTAATCATATTCAAGAATTTTACAACAATTGCAAATCTGCTTTTTCTGCTGAACACAGAATCATTTTGACATTTCGAGAACGCATCTATTACACTATATATATATACTTACTCTGATAACTTTGGATCGTAATTAGTTACAGAACGCGCCGCAAGATTCATAATCCAGTTCGGAGTAGAATTCAAATCTTTCGTGATTATTATAATCTAAAAGTAAATCTTGCAGGACGAACAGAATTATTGCAAGTACCTTACAATTATTAAGTGTTCGTCGAAATTAAGAGTATCCCGTAATTTGTGCCAAACATTTTTATGTAGATAGAGCATACTAAAGTACTACTGAGTCGAAAAGTCCTCTACTATTTTGTAATTTTCGCAATTAACGAAATACTAATTATTAAAAATTGTTAAATATTGATCTTCAATAATTATTTACTCAAATACTATTAACTTTACATACTATTAACTTTAAACAACTTTATTAACTTACAAAAACAGTAAGAGACAAAAATTGTTTATTTTCTTCTCATAAAGCTTTAAGAATTTTTTATTAACTTTTTAGTATCACATTTTCTTATTGACAATTATTTTTACCAACATGAGAAAATATGATATTAAAAAATTTTGAAAAAATTCTCAGAACTTTATGAGAAGAAAATAAGCAATTTTTGTCTCTTACTGTTTTTCTGTAAAATTGATAGTGTTTGAGCAAAAAATTTATTGAAAACCAATATTTAGTGATTTTTCGTAATTAATATCTTGTTAATTATGATGAAATGTAAAGTAATTATGATGAATTGTAGAGGGCTTTTTCAACTTATTAGTTTAGTTCGTTCTATTTACACAAACGTACTTGACAAAAAATTGCGAGACACCCTGTATATGTATGTAATAACTATACTATCTAATACCATTTTATAGTACGAATATGAATAGTCATTTTCGACATATTTTTGTCTGCTGAACATGAATCAATTGATAAAATTCGACTATTATGTCACAATTTTGAGGAACATGATATCAAAAAGTACAAAGAAGCGACTTTGAAGGTTTTTATGACATAGTACCATTAAAATTTTTTTCATGGTTTATTACTTAATGCCATATGAAAGTATCAACTTTTAGCTTCAAAATGCATTTTGGTTCATTTCAATATGAGTTTTCCTAAACGGTATGAGAGTCCTAAACTTTTTGACACTTGTAGGCAGATAAAACAAATTAAACTGAGTCGAAAATTCTCTGCATTTTACAATTTTCGTAGTCTTTTTTTATTTACCTAATAAGCAAAATATCTAAAATTGATGTATAAAATAAGATATTTTAAAATATTTTAAGAATTTTAAGTTTCTTTAAGAACTTTTTAAGAAACATTTTTAAGATATTTCATAAAGAACTTTGAAAGATATTTTAAAATTGTCTTAATTATATATCGATTTTACCAGCTTATTTGGCAATCTTCCGAAATTAATATCTTGTTAACTATTGCAAAAATTGCAAAAGAATAAAAAAGGCTTTTTGATTCAATTTAATCGGATCTATTATCCACAAGCAGTGTGTCAAAAAATTTGGAACACTTGACAAAACGCAGTGCATGATGGTGCAATGCATTTTATAACGAAACTAAAAACTAAATGTATTGATACTTCCGTGCGGCATTAATGAGAAAAATTTAATATTAGTGTTACAATGTTACAAAAATCTTCAAAATCCTTATTTTCTTTAAAATTGTGACGTGCCAGTATCAAATTTATTAATGGATTCATATTCAGCAGCAAGTGTGCGTGCGTGCATGCGTGTGTATGTATTATAATATACTTGTGTTTCATGTGTGTGCAATTAAACGGATAAAATATTTTTTAAAAAGATTATTTTATGTTTAACGACTTTTATAAAAATCTAATACAGGTGCTCTAGTCAAATAATCAATAGTTCATTTTAAGTTTTAAGTATTAAAAGCTGTTGCTCTAAAAGTACTGAACAATAGCTTTTAATACTTAAAACTTAAAATGAATAAATGATTATTGTCTTTTAATTTTCATACTTTACATTTTAATACTTTACGCAATTAATTATTGTCTTTTAGTAATAAATTGGTAAATTTTTGTAAGGGTGAAGTATTTTTGATTACTCACTCTCATAGATTTTATTGGGTTGTGCGGAAAGTTCGTGCCGATGTTGAAGAAAAATTGAAATGCAGAAAATTTAAATTTTAGTATACATTTATTAAATTATATAGGTTAATCGGCACGAACTTTCCGGACAACCCAATATATATGCACACTTTTTTTAATGTATCAATGTTTCAAGCACTGTACCATGCAATTGTCGATAACTGCGGACCATAAGGTCGCAGTTACATTGTGAAGAAAGAAACTAAACGTGCCGTGAAAGATGGAATCAAATTCGAATCGTTCTGTATTTTTCGTGCTTATTATAAAATAAATCCCGCGTGACGAACAAAATTATCATAAGTGTCTCAATATTATTGTAATAATGTTCGTTTTAACATCGTATATACATAAATTCGTTATATTATGCAATATCACAATGATTTCGACGTCTGCTAACCTGTACTTAGAATTGATCGAAATCAATATAATACGCTATATTATATATTTTTTTTGCCGAAATGCTGCAAGAAGTGTAATTGATGCATGATAATTTTCAGATCAATATTCTTTGTGTAATTAGCTGTATTGATTACACGCTTAGCCGAATTATATTTTAAATTTTTCATCGCGTTGCCGGTAACAGCGATAAAGGTCGCGACACAAACTTTTGTAT